AGATAAGAAACCCTTTAAATGCAGTCAATGTCAACTTACCTTTGCATCAATGTCAGACCTGGCTGAGCATTGGAAGGTTCACACTCGAGAGAAACTGATCGAGTGTTGGTTATGTGGCCAGATGTTTGCCTCAGAAGAACTCTCACGGCAGCATACCTAGTCATGCATTAACAAGCTTATTAACCCTAGGCTGAACACAGCAACCATAACTAATGAGATATATCCCCAGGGTGCTGATGTTATTGCATCTTAGGTAATAGATTACTTAATTTATTTATTTATTATCTTTATTTATTTAGATTGTAAAGTTATCATTCTAATTCAGAAGGCAGCCTTCAAGCCAGAACTTTTTTGTTTATAGATTTCTTTAGAGTATAGTCTTTTTTACATTATTGAAACTTTTGTGCAATTAAAATCTGAGGACAAAACTTATGAGTAGGGGGTGGGGTGGGTGGTTCTGGGTAGTTATGCCATTTCTACTGCCTATGCTAGATGTTTGAGATGCAACAAGATAATTGAAGAAAACTGCAATGTGTCGTATTTAACAATTAGATGATAAGCTTGAGATTTTTATTGAGTGATAGTTGAAGGCGCAGCCGATTCAAGTATCATGCATAGAAATTGAAAGCATATAAATCTATCAGTCGTCCTAAAGTGTATCTAAATCCTCTTCACAGACACTTCAAAAACGCATAGAAGCAGCCAGCATTTTCAATTGTTAACAACTGCACACTGTTAGGCTACTCACTATCTACAACAGAATAAATAGTGACTAGTAGTCATTAAGAGAATGGCATTCCTGATGGAACTCTAGTAGACTTATAGTTGAACAAAGTACAAGAAGAGTTGTTTCTAAGCTCTGTCTGCAGGCCAATGAACATCAAAGAAGCAGTTTAGGAAAGAAAAAGCACTGGAGAGGAGAAGCAGAAACTGAGTGGAACCTGGAGACGATCCTAATTCCCAGAGCCCCGTGTCTTTCTTTGCAGGCACGGCCTGGGCACAAGGGGAAAGGTGGCTCTGGAGACACATCATTTGATTGGCTAGATTGCTGGACTAGGAATTTCTTTTCTGGTTTCCTTACCGAAAATATCACAGGTTGTTCTCTAGCTAAAACCATTTGATCACAGCACTTCAGACCTTTAGGAAATTTAAAACTGACTTATGGGAAGAAGAAGAATGAACTAACATGATTGTCAGTTCCAGCCAGAATTTTACTTCTCTTTTGCAAAGTCGTTTTGTCAACATCTGCTGACATCTTTGGGTGCTGTGGTCAAATGGTTTTATGTCCCGTCCACATCAACATTTTAAACCTGTTTAAAAGTGTTTGAACTAAACAAGGTTAAATGTTAGTTGCTTCAGTATACCGTACACACCTCACAACTTATCAAGGTAAAAACCTGTTTGATTAAAACGTTAACCAGGCACCCGGTAGTTCGAAATTTGTCTTCTCAAAATGACTTCAAAGCTTAATTGATAAATTGGAAAAACTTAAACCTGATTTAGTTCAACTAGTTCAGTTGGTGTGAATGGGGCATTAGTTAGAGATCAACCCGTGGATATCATTATGCGAAGGAAACTTTGATTTTCTCTTGGTTACATAACATATCAACATGCCTGGTTAATGGTTTTTGAGTTATTTTTTTGTAAAAAAAATACCTCTTAGTCGGCGCGTCGGGTATGTTATGTACCGGTCAATGGGTGAGTGAGTGAGTGAGAGAT